CCCAGTGTGACCAGCAGACTGAAGCCCTGCCTGTGACCAGCGTTCCCAGCATAATAAATAAATGTTTTACTCTCTCACTTGTGTATTTTTTAATATCTCAATCTGCAGTATTAGTGTATTAATACAGCTTATGTAATGCAATAAAAAAAATTACTCTGTTAGAATGATTTTCACTCTGATGTCAATAGCAGAGTTGACATACTGTAATAAATGCTTTTTCTCTGGAAAAAAGAAAAATATGTAGTTTAATATTTGACAATGACTGATTTATAAATCAAAAGTCATTTCTCAATGTATAAAAAATAAATACAAGAAAATTATTTGTTGTCTTGAAATGTTAAATGTACATTAAATTATGGAATTATGTAAATATGTTCTTTAATAAAACACTGTAAAAGTGTGTCTGTTCATCAATGTCAATATAAAAATAAGAATTATTTCTATCAAATAAAAACATTGTGCTCTTTATTCAGAAATGCCCCAAAACAATTAAATAATCACATCAAAAGTTAGAAACTCTGTCTTTAGTCATTACTTTGATTACCAAATATATTGATGTGTGTGAGAAAATGTGTCAATGACAGGTATTAACTTAAAATACTTTGTAGAGCGGCACTTTCTGAAGTTTGGTCCATTTACTTGTATTAGCTTACTGGCAGAGAAGCCACATTCAATATGGCGGACGCTGTTGCGTATCGCAGCAACGGGCCGACCCGCTCCATGAGGCGTCTACGTGTTCATGTCTATGATGTATCAGATACCCAAGTGGCCTGGGTCGCATTCGAAAAAAATCCAACCTGTGTTGTTCAGACTGTCATGAAAAGATCAGATACAGGTTGCATTAAGTCAAAAAAAATTAAAAAATCAGAATTGGGTCACTTCAGGCTGCAGTGTGAACGCAGCAGCCTTAAACTCATATTTTTACAAGGTATTTCATTTGAGGTGAGTTACACCCACTGTGCATTTTATTCGTGTTAGTATTTTGATATTTGGTTAAAAAGAAAATCCTAAAGAGAAGACGTTAGATTTCCAGATTGGGTTTAACTTGTTTTACCACTGTCTGGATCATCAGTTTGTTTTACTTACACTCAGAGTTCTTAACATGTTTATTGTTGGGAAAAATGTGTATTTTACAGACAATAAGGAAGCTCTGCTAGTCGTTCTATCATCTCAGTCAGGAGTTATAAAAGATGCCATTGAGGAAATGAAGCAGGTAAACACTAACGCGGTTTTCAAAGTTTTTCTTTGTTTTTGTCCTTATTACAAAGAAAATCTTATATTTGAACTTTTAGTTGTTTCTGTATATTTAATAACCTAATTTTTACAGAATAATCCAGGTTTATTGCTTAGAATCAACAGCTGCTCTCTCCTTCACATTCACAGATCTTATCCGAACCCGAGGACCCGTTCAAGGACTGCCTCATTAACGACCCGGACGACAACTCTGACCATGACTGTCCTCCCAACAACCAGTGCATGTCCATGTCAGAGAAGGACTGGCAGGTGATCAGTGC